CCTGTCAACACAAACAAGAAGAAAATTCCAGTGAAAAAATGAAATGCTTCTTTTTATGAAAATGATACTATTTTCCAAGACATACTTGAGGGTGGGGGTGGGATGGTTAGTATAGTATCCATTGGAAAGGAAGGGGCTTACACAAGTGTGACATTTGTTCATTTTAAGGAAAAAGTTCCTGTGTAGAACAAATATATACCAAATAGTAAACCAGGACAATATTCCACCCCCGCAAATAGTTTTAATATTAGGAATAATTTCAATATTCCTAACTAGAATATTCAAAGAAGTGAATGTGTTCTTTATCATTCTGTGTGTAAAGACTGTTATAACTCTTCCATCTAGAGTTTACTCAGTGAACATCCTTCTTTGATATTTGAAAGGTGCAAATAAAATGATATGTATCAGCCAGTCAGTTTCTCGAGATGACTCTACCAACTTTTCCCATCTCAATTATGCCTCTTTTAAACTGCATCATAGCACTGTGTACTTTTTCTCTAAAGTGCTTATAATAAATATAATAAATTATTATGTAATTATTAAGTAGTAATAAGCAGCATTAAATAATAGATCAGCAATAAAATATTAAATACATTATAGATATAAAGCTTTCTCTTCCACAAGTCTGGAGTCCTGATAGGGTAAGGAATATGTTTGTTTTGATCATAACTATATTCACAGTAACTACCTGCTTGGCAAATTTGTGGACTACATGAAGAAACTAATGTGTCATCAAGGAGCTCATATTCTAATGGGGAGACAGTTTAAAGATGTTGATAAAGCAGAGCACGGGGTACATGGTTAATTTAGAGGCACAGAGGAGGCATCTATTTCAGCAAGAGAGACAATCCAAATGTGTATATTCACTGGTTTATGATACATTTTAAATCAAAGAGCACAAACGCTACATGGTATATGACAAAAATCCCAAGAGGGTCATGAATGGCTAAAGTGTCAGAAACACTGTCTTAGAGGAAAACAATGCATACTCTGATGAAAAGACATAACTGACAAGTGAAAATGATTCTTTTCTCTTACTCTCATCATTTTTGATTTTTCTTTTACACTATGGAGGTCAACATTTCCAAATGCTCTCTGGACATCTCCTAGGTGCCCTATCAGCACCTCTGGTTCATTATGTCTGAAACTCTACTTAGTACTTCTTCCCCCTGCAACCCAAAGGATGTAAACAGAAAAAAGTGTTCAATCTAACCAATAATCAGAGAAATGCAAATTAAATCCACAATACCACTTCAGCCCCATCAGATTAACCAAAATTTCAAAATCTGACAATACCAAATGTCACTGAGGCTGTGAAGCAATGTGAACTAATACATTTTGAGAGGGATTATAAATTAATACAACAGCTAAGATCTCTCCCTCCCTCCCTTCTCCCTCCCTCTCTCTCTCTCTCTCCCTCCCTCTCTCTCTCTCTCTCTCTCTCTCTCTCTCTATATATATATATATATATATATACATACATATATATATATATACACACACACACACACACATATATATATATTTCCAAAATATATATCATAGAGAAATTCTTACATATCTACACAGGGTTTTTAATTTTTTTAACTTTTTTTTTGATCCCAACAAATATTTATTGAATACCTATTAAGTTCTATGCACTTGACCATATCAATGAACAAAGGGAAAGATAAGAAACAAAAAAAATAATAAGTAAACCATGTATCAGAAGGTAGTAAATGCTAAGAGGAAAGGGGAGGGGCTAAAAGAACAACACAGGGGATCTGGAGTGTAGGGAGTGGGGGAAAAGGGCATACTGCAGTATTAAGTAGGGTGTTCAGAGTGGGCCTCTTTGAGAAATTCAGATTTGAACAAAGACTTAAAGAAGTTGAGGGAATTATTTGGAAAAGAGCATTCTACCAAGTAGAATGAAAGCTAGAGACTAGTGCAGGCCAATGTGACTGGAACCAAAGGAACAGGCAGAGCAGGTATTGAGGTCAGAGGGAGGGCCTGAGAAGGCAGAACCTGTGGAGTGCTGTAAGGATTTAAATTCCTGTAGAGCTCTGAGCTGAGGGATGATATGATATAGCTTAAATTCCAACAGCACCACACTGGCTGCTAGGTAGAGAATGTAGGGAAGTAGGGTGGGAGCAGGGTAGGAACAGGGAGAAGAGTTAGTGATGCTGAAAGCTCGGCTTCTGTGCACTGGTGCCGTATTGAATCTCAGAGACAGAGTTTTGGGTGAAGTATAAAAGAATCGCTTTATTGCTTTGCCAGGCAAAGGGGGCACAGAGGGCACCTGCCCCAAAAAGCTGTGTCCCAACCTAGGAGGATTTGACGAGGAGTTTTATAGCAATGGGTCAAGGGTGGGGTTGCTGATAAGATTAGGGTGTGTGCAGGGCCTGCACTCCTCTAATCTGGCCTCAGGTAATCTTGATGAGTTTCTCTGATTCCTTTAATGCAGCCTCAGTTGGAATTCTCTGGTATGAAGAAAGCTGACATCTTAAAAAGCTTAAAGACATAGTTCTGTGTATCCCTTGAGGTGAAACCAGGACTTTTCCCCAAGGCTGCACTATTGTTTCTTGGCTGCCTCTCCCTTGTCTTTGCATCCCTTCCCTTCCCGGATTAGCAACGGTTGGAATCTGTCCTTTGGAACACAGAGAAGGTCATGAAGGCTGGAGTCAAGAAACGGGGGACAGAAAGGCTTCAGTGTCCAGGAGCTCCACAGGGTCTTGCTTGGTTTCATTATGAGGTTACTATATAATGGTGTTTAAAATGAGGCAGTGAGAAATAGATTCCAGATATATTTTAAAATTAGTTTTCCTGGAAAAAAAAAAAAAAGTAGTTTTCCTGAGAGATTAAACGTGAGGTTTGAGAGAAAGAAAGAAGAATCAAGAATGACTCAGACATTTGGCCTGCCCAACTGGCAGGATGGAACTGTCATCAACTGACACAATAGGTAAAGCAATTTTTGGAGAGATCGGTAGTCTAGTCAAGGACATGCTAAGTTTGAGATATCTAGATGACTATAAATAAAATGGGCTCTACTATAGCCAATTTTACGGATAGTAAATAAAACCAAAAAATTTAATTATTCAAAAATATCCAAGTATGCAAAATAATTATTGAGAATGAAAAAGAAACTAATTGCCACTGTCTACTGAAAGAAAAATGCATAAGGAAAAGCTGTAAGTTTTATTCAGAGACCTTACTAAGGACTCAAGCCAGGTAGACAGCCTCTCAGCCCTGAAGAACTGCTCCAAAGAGGTAAGGGAAGAACCAAGATATATATGAGCTAGTTTTTGCTGGGAAAAACATGTAATCAAGCACAGAATGATTACTGCTCATCACAAAGAATAGACAGACATCTCAAGTTAATGATTTTAGTGCATTTCTATGTAGGGAAGATTCAAGAATCTGGGGTTATTGAAATCTTTCCTTAGATAGGTATCTTAACTTTCTAGGGTATGGTATATCCAAGCAAAGAATGCTTCCTGTTTTTCTCCATCCTAAATTCCCCTCAGGGTACGCAGTCGGTGGGTTATTAGCTTGATTCCTGTAGAATTGGAATGGCAGTAACACTTTTTTTCTTTACACCAGTTTAAGTTTGGGGACTACCATTTGTAACATATTATACTTTAAGAATGAAACATTACACATAGAATGCTTTACTTTAGAAGCAGATGAAATGAATTACTAAGTTGAGTAAATTGAGCGTATTTACTTAAATTATTTGAACAATAATGTGGCTTTCAAAGTTGATGAAAATTTTTTAAACATTAAGGCTTAATGATTGAGAAGTGACACTATGTGGGCTTTATCAAAATAATTAACTATGGAGAATGTTGTGGATCAAAGCTTCTAAGAGAAAAAGTACAACTATCTTTAATTGCTAAGAAGTTTCAATTATATAATACAGTATTATTGACTATAGTCACTATCTAAATCCTCAGGATTTATTGGTAATTAATAAACACAAAAACATAAACTCGATGTTGTTCCAGACACATTACTACATAATCACCACTAATAAGTCAGTTCTCTCCTTTTAAACATCACCAAAATAAATTGTAACCATGATATTATCAGCACTCCGCATGAGAAGCAAACACATAAATAAGATTCAAGTATGAGCCATTTTAGGATCTAGATCAGAGTTTCTCAAACTACTGACATTTCAGGTCAGATAATTCTTTGTTAGGGCAGTGGAAACGGCTGGCCTGTGCACTGTAGGATGTTGAGCAGCATCCCTAGCCTCTACCACTAAATGCCAGTAGCAACTCCCAAATGTCGCAAGCAAAAAAAGCCTCCAAGTAATACTCATGGGGTCAAGAGGGATGCAACAGGCCTGCAAAATTATCTCCAGCTGAGAACTACTGATCTCGAATAACAGTCTTTAACTGAATGAAAATTCCATAATGGATCTTGAAGCCTCAACAGCCTCATCATGCATAACTTATAAGGGAGTTGCAAGGAAGTGGGCAGAAGGGTGTCAGTGTGATAATCCCTCACTCTGAGCAGGAAGTCTCCGTTAGCATCCCCTTCATTTCTCAGCCTCAGTCACCAAAATGGTCCTAAGGATTTGGAGAAATTAAAAGTAGCTTCTCTCTACTAGAGGGTGGGAAATACTATCTGTCAGCAAGTCAATAAGTAGTGCTCAATCTATTTGGCAGCTGATCTGACAATACCAAGTTGTAGCCTCATTTCAGGACACTGCTCTCTTTATGGCACACAGTTTAAGTTTTAAACAAAGAACAGCTGAAACTAAAAGAGACACGATGATGGAGCAGGATTCATTCAGTAAGTATTACTGAAGTCCTGCTATGCTATGTGCTAGGCACAGGGGATGTAGTAGTGTAAAAGGCAGAAAAAATAACCAACATGGATGAGTTACACATATAGTAGACCAATCTGTAATGAATGAGAAAAACCAAAGCAGGGATGATCAAATACAAGATTTAAGGGGTGATGGTGGGGTTAAAATTTTAGCTAGGGGGGCCAGGGAAGGGCCAAACAATGAGTGAGAATATTTTGAAAAAGAAGTATAAAGTACTCTACGTAGTTTATTTACTATCTGGAAATACCCTGTCGTTATGTAAAATTATATATATAAACCCATATTCAAGATAGGAAGTAATTATATATATTTAAATAGCAATACATTGACTTCAATATAACTACAAACAGCAAAAAGCAAGGTCAGTGTTTTCTCCCCTAAAGAATGGGATTATTTGGCACATGGCAGCTCAGAAAGGACACTGCTAGAATTTATCTCAATGAACTAAAAAAACAATGAAGTAATGCAATGCATCTTTCCAAAACAGTCTTTATAAATAATGAAATTCATGCTTTTGATCTGGGCAATTACATAAAATTGAATTATATTTATTTCTTATATATTTTTTTACCTTATTTGAGGTCAGCTCAGGTCTAATGAGCAATATGGAATTTTGTATTGTGCAAATAAAATGGCTTAAATCATGATCAGAAAAATTTCTATTTTCATATTCACAATGTTATAAGGAATATGGCCAAAGATTAAGGTTATAAACTCATGAATGAGCTAGTCATTTGAATCTCCAATAATCTGACCTTGTTTGATAGCCATATCCCATACCACCACCAACAAAGCTAGCAGTGAGAACAAAAAGAAAAATATCCCATAACCTGGAAGACTCCATTTTACCCCCATTAAAGATCTCTTTCAGAAATTCTTAAAATATAAGAACAAGAAAGAGACCAAAGTAAATACAAAATAATCCAAATAAAAATTGATTTTTCCAAAGTATAGTGATTCTGAAAATGCCAGTTTTTTTGGCTGAATGTTCAGCATTTGATATAAATGAAAATATATTAGAAAGAAACTACACATTAAGCCACAGTGTAGCATAGTTTTGTGTTTGTTACACTTCAAAAGGCCTTCCTCTCAATCATCAAAATAATAATTCTGTGCTTCTTAAAGTTAATACACAGTTTACTAGAAATTTATTTGTAAAAGAAAGTGGTCACTGAACAAAGCATTCAGAGATTTCCACCATTATAATTTTTCCCCTTGTTGGATGCTCAGTTCCTGGATAGAGGGACTCTTTTAATTTCTGTGGATGACTTTCCTAGGAAGCCTGAAAAGCCCCAGTTCCTTAATATTGCAAAATCACATTCTTGCTAATTATATTAAAGCACTGTTTTAGAACAATCTGTTTCACAGACCCTCTGACATCTAGCAAGTCATGATGACTTTCCGACACACACGTTAATTTGTTACATATTTATTATGCAAACAGTAAGTTAGGCTCTTGTACTATGTCACGCATAATGCAAGAAGAGATCACATTTCCATTAAGGGGACATGTAAACAATTTATGCAACATGAAAAGAACCATAATAGAGAAATATATAAGGTGTTTTAGGAGTAGAAACCCCACCTGAGTAGTTTCACAGACTGACTTTTCTCCTGAAAAAACAAATGCACCCAGTTCCTCCCATTTAGAGCTTAAAACTCTTTCTTAGTGATCATCATTCTTCTGTGTTGCCTTCATCAATGAAGAAAGCATGCAACTTGATCAAAAAAACCCAATCAGCATACCTTGTGGCTTTGGACTTGCAGCTGAGTGTTTTGCTGGAGTTTTCCCATTTATTCCCTGAGCCTCTTCATCAGATACATTCTGATCAATCAGTGTGGTTGTGCTGCTTTTCAAGCAAGGTGAAACTATAGTGATCTTTGGACAGGTACTGCTGCCTGGGAGAGTTCAAAAAGAAAGAACAGGTAAATGCAGAGATGCAGCATAACTACATCTCAGGACTTAATTTCTTCTGACCCCATAAAACAAAAACAGTCACAGTTACAAGAGTATGCATTGAAATAATTTTCCCACGTGTGCTGGCCTTGACAAAGAGTTTTCCTGAGAAAGATCTCATTCCATGTGCTTGAGAAACCTTATAATACATGCTGACAGAGACTGCTGACTACTACATACACACACACACACACACACTCTCTCTCTCTCTCTCTCTCTCTCTCTCACTCCCCCCCCTCAACTTTCCAAACTCAAACAGAAAAAACATCTTATTCCACCCACTACCATTACAGCCAGGAAAACAGACTCACCTACAGCCATGCCTATAATTTCAAATTCACATCAAGATTATCTATGCCCTGCTAACTTCAAAAAGCAGTTTTCATCTTGGGAATTAAAATATAATGGCCCTTGGGACTTCCCTGGTGGCGCAGTGGATAAGAATCAACCTGCCAACGCAGGGGACACGGGTTCAATCCCTGGTCCGGGAAGATCCCACGTGCCATGAAGCAACTAAGCCCATGCGCCACAACTACTGAAGCCCGCGTGCTTAGAGCCCATGAGCTACAACTACTGAAGCCCGCGTGCTTAGAGCCCGTGTTCCGCAACAAGAGAAACCACTGCTCAAGGAGAAGCCTGCGCACTGAAGTGAAGAGTAGCCCCCGCTCGCCACAAGTAGAGAAAGCCCGCCGCGTAGCAATGAAGACCCAACGCAGCCAAAAAAATAAAATTTAATATTTTTAAAAATACAATAAAATAAAATATAACGGCCCATTATTCACCAATAGGATGAGGTCTAAGTGAGAAACAACTGCCTGGCATGACATAAATCCCAAAAGACCCTAAATCCAAGACTGTTGTGCAAACATGGTCCTCCTACCTCCTGCAAAGGTTCAAGAGCTGACTATTAAATAATTAAAGACCAACTTTGTTTCTAGACAAAGTTCCTATTTGCTGAATGAATAGTCTCCAACAACCGAATGTTTAAACCTCTGGGCTTTTAAACCCTTTGACATAATCCTATAAGCACTCCCACCTCCAGCCCCCACCTGCTGCAAATTCTTCCAAAGGAAGGACTAATATATGAAACCCCCCCCCCCCCCCCCCCCCCCGCCGCCCCTTTCCTTGCAGGGCCATGGAAAGGGCAGAATGCAGCTGCTATGATGCAGGTGAAGGAGAGGACCAGAGGGCCCCAGCACTAATCTGTTAAAAGCGTTCCTTTCCAGCATCCAGTCAGTCGCCAGTCATTGAGTGGTTCAAAAGAACAAAGCAGGAAAGCACGAACATGACAGCTGACCTAAAGACTCTAGAAGAATGGCTTGATTAAAAATGGAGAAATCACACACACACACACACACACACACACACACCATGCCCCTCTCTCACTAGCTTACTCAGACTCCAAATCAACATATTATTAATACCCATGTTTTTAAAAAAAAAAAAATGACAAGAGTATGTAGATAATATTCATATTTAGTTACAACTCAAAAATCTTTGAAACACTGCAGTGCTTTAAAAAACTGAAATACATCATGAAGCATAGATGGAGAACAGATCAATTCTTAGTTCAATTTCTGATATAAGAAGTTAAATACTGAATTTCAGAGACTTTTAAAGAAATCATAAGCCAGTGTTTTCTCTTTAAACGCATGCTAAATTTTCCTTTCTTCTAGTTGACATGGTGATATTAACAACAGATTAGACCCTGTTTAGGAGAAAATAAAATTTCTACCAGGAAATTCACTAACGTTGAATAAAAGTATGCCATTTAAGAAACTATCATTTGACTAAGAAAGTTACATTTTTACAGAATCCAAATATTTAAAATGAGAACTATTATAGATAAAAGGCCTTAATAATTATTCAAAACAAGAAAAGCTGATAAAACCCAATCAACTTTTTATTGAGTAAAAAAATTCCCTTTTACTTCAATTGATTGGGTAATATTGATTAAAAACTACAATACTGCTTTATTTTCTATGCTCCCCTTAAAATATATCTAGGTAAAACAAATTTCAGAAGATATTAATAGTTCCAGGTATTGTCTGAGAAGTTATTAGAGACCCAATGCTAAAACACATTAAATGAGTTTCATCAGACACCCTTCTGCTAAAATGGGCTGCCAATTAAATAAAGCATTGTTTAGCCAAATAAAGGCCTTGAATGCAAGATTTAAGGAACATTTATTTGACAGCATATTATAAATTATAAACAGAAGAAATTATAAACAGAAGAAATAAAAGCTCAGTCTTTAAATGTGTGATCCTATCTACCTTCTTAGAAAAACCACATGAAGTAGGCAAAGCATATTCCTAAAATCCACAGTGTACCATCCAACCACTTAGCCTTTTAGGGGCATTAGGATGTTTGTTCCACAATGATCCCAAGAATGGCTTAGAATCTGAAAGGCCACCTGCTGGGGTCTAGTGAAGGATGGCCTCGGGGCAGAAACAGTGAAAAGCCACAGCCCAACTACAAATCAGAGGCAGAAACTGTAACTTGACAGTAAAATGAGACACTGTGAAAGCAAGAATGCAGCTTTAAAGATGATTTATAGCAACAAAACTATAAAAGGGGGCAGCTAAGGGGTAAATGAGAAAACGAATTAAATTGAATCTTTAAAAAATAGATCACCACTGTAACATTAAAAGATGAAACTACTTGGGCTTCCCTGGTGGCGCAGTGGTTGAGAGTCCGCCTGCCGATGCAGGGGACACGGGTTCGTGCCCCGGTCTGGGAAGATCCCACATGCCGCGGAGCGGCTGGGCCCGTGAGCCATGGCCGCAGAGCCTGTGCTCCACAATGGGAGAGGCCACAACAGTGAGAGGCCCACGTACTGCAAAAAAAATAAAAATAAAAAAAAAAATAAATAAAAATAAATAAATAAAAGATGAAACTACTTTAATAATTAACCTATTTAGAAACAAAACGTCTCAAATAAATAATAATTTTTAATTGAAAACTAGGCACTTAATTTCTGGATAGCAAGCTTGCAGGATCTGATGGGTTTACAAGATCATATTTATTAGAGAACATCTCAGATGAATGTGATGAAATGCCTGCAGTAGGAGATCAAGTACACATCTATTTTCTTTTGAATCCATTAAAGTCATGATTACAAATCTTTTGCCAGTGATAATAAATCCACAGCCAGAAACTTCATTTCAGATCATTATTTAAAACCCATCTCCAAACTTCAGCCATTATCACAAGGTATGAAAATATGGTGAAAGACACAGAAAACACATTCTTAAAAGGTTGTTAAAAAAAAAAAAAGCAAAGACAAATATGCAACAGAGACCGTGCAAAGCCCAAAATCTTTACTATTATTTACTATCTGGTCCTTTACAGGAAAAGTTTGCTGACCATGGTCTGGGTCAAACACATAATGGTAAAGGAAGTTTGATTAAAATTAGGCAGCACCATTTCATTAAATCATCTTTTAACATCCTGGATATTAGCAACACAGAGGAATACTTCTTTTTGCTTGTTTATGACTGACTCAGCCTATTCACATTTGGAGACAGTCCTTATTTGGGTACCAGTTGCATAACAGGGACTTGAAACCAAAATTGTAACCAGATGGTCTACCTATTCAAGAAATTTTATATTATAGAGGCTTTCAGATTCCAATTTACCAAGAACCAGTATGAGTGATTAAACACGTATCTCTGGGCACAGATACAACCAGTTACATTATGTTAGCGTAGGGAGAGGGGTCCTATTTACTGTCTCTTCTTGAGGATTGGTAATCTATTTACGTACTGGTCCTAACCATTTTGCATTCCTCTGTCTTATGCTTGCTGGGTCAATCTCTTGTAAGAACTGTCTAGACAGATGTAACTGCAGGGTATCCTCAGATATTCTCAGTTCATCCAGCCTCATCTTTGACTGCATAAACCTCCCTGTTCCAACTGGAGAGGTTCCCACTATGGCTTAACTTTCATTTATGTGTCTTTTGCATAGTACTTGTGAGTGGCAGATAATCTCTCTGACTGGTTAGGGTAACTTTGTCTTCTATTTGCAAAATTTTGTGTTGGGTTGTTAACGTTTTTCCAACTTATTCTTGAATGGCTCTTTCACAAATTAAGGTTGGACTTACTCCAAAGCAAAGTCCGTTCACTTCATTCTTCAGGCCTGATCTCTTGTCATGGTATCCATGACCTCAGATCACATCTTTATGGCCGTGTCTATAGTGCCTCACCCAACCATAACATCTCTTCCAACTGCACCAAGTCTCTAGCCCAGAAGATCTCCATGGACTCCAACCCTCAGGACAAGAGGATCTCTTGATTTAAGAGCACAGAATAGTTTTCTAAGGGAAACAGTCTTCCTAGGTGTATATTGTCCAGATGGAAAGAGATACTTAAAAAAGAAAAAAAAAAAAAACACCAATATTTTGAAATAATCTTAGATTTACAGAAAGAAGACTTGTACCCAGGCTCTTAGGTTAGCATCTTTTGTAACTACAGTATGTTATCAAAAGTAAAAATTTAATATTGGTACAATATTAGGCCACAGATTTCATTCAGATTTCACCATTTTTTTCACTAACATTCTTCTTCTGTCACAGGATCCAAACCAAGATATCATGTTGCATTTAGTTCTCCAATCTGTGAGAGTTACTCAGTCTTTGCTCGTCTTTCATGACCCTGGCAGTTTTGAAGAGTACTGGTAAGTATTTTGTAGAATGTCCCTCAAACTGGGTTTCTCTGATGTTTTCTCATGATTAGACTGGGTTTACAGGTTTGGGGAAAGAACATCACAGAGGTGATGTACCCATCTCACTGCATTACATCACTGCATGATACCAACATGATTATCATGTGGTATTAACCTTGGTCACTGAGTAAGGTGATGTCTGACAAGTTTCTACACTGGAAAATATTCTATTTATAAGACATTTTTCAACAGTCTTCTATCATCCCTTCAAAGACTC